CTGAGCCTGCAAGCCCTGCTCCCAGTCTACATGCATCACATCTCAGCAGTGTTATCCCAAATGTGCCTCCCAGGGTGAGAACAGGCAGGGAGGGAGGGAGTGGATACCCTCCAGTTGTCGTGTACAGGATCCTGCAGTTTAAAGTGAGCCTATCATGTATCAGCTTTGGAAGTTCTCAACTACTTGGGGGTGTGGGGAGAATTTTAGGTGTGCGTTCTAAACTCATGGCCCATGATTCTGTACTCGCACTCAGCAGCACATTGGTATTGCTAGAGTGGGGACCCTCCTGCCTCCTGTGTCCATGTTCACCCCGTGGTAACCAGTTTTTCTGAGGTTAACACCCTTAAACAACTGTTTTGTGACACCCCTCTCCCCCATTTGAGGCTGACATGCCTTCGATCCCTGCTTTTTCCTCATGAAATAGTCTTCATTCATGATGGTCATCATGAAAAAAGTCTTGAGTTTCCCTTTCATCGTAAATCACAATGGAGTTTTTTCTGCTTTAAAACCTCCAGAATTTTCATATTTGCAACGCCCAGAAGTAAGAGTCATGGTATTAACTATAAACTAGCAGAGAGTATGCGTCTGTAAGAAATATCTTGGACTGCTTTTTAAATTTGTTCCAGTCATTTCTTTATTCAGTAATCATTTTTTAAGTGCCTTTTGCATGCTAGGTCCTACACAGGACTGGAGATTTTAGGCTGAAAATAGACACCGTGCTCTCTTAGTGGAGCTTAGGTAAGACAGAAAGGCCCTGTTCAACTAATTGAATCCTTTGTGGGTGTGAAGCCCAAATGAAAGGTTGTTGACTGAACACAGTTAAATTTGGAGGTTAGTGAGAGAAATGGAGACAAAAGCAGAGGCCGAGGTGCCTACAAATGCAAGGAGTGAGGGACAGTGAAACCCAAGGAAGTCTCTCATTGAATGGCACACGACCAAGAGAGGATTGGCCGTGGGGTGACTGCAAGGAGGGAAACCGGGAGAACACAGTGTTTGAGAAGCCCAAGAAGAGCATCGGCGAGGGCCCCGAACGAGAGGGTCATGGCCTCAGAAGGACTGAGGAGCGTCTGTCACGCTTAGCCTGAGGGTCATCGACCTTAATGCCAGTAGCTGCTCTTAGGAGGTAGGATGGCAAAATTCAGAGCTCAGTGAGCTCCAGAATGGAGGGAGGTAAACAAAAACCCCAAGTAAGGAAAGAGAGATCCTTTAAGAAGTGGCTGAGAGACAGACACTACCGATGAAGAAAGGTGTAGGGTCAAATAAGGGATTTTATTTATTTTTACTTTTTATTATAAAAATTTTCAAACCTACAGAATATTGATAGAAAAATCACTTAGATTTGACAACTGACATTTTTCCCTGTTTTCATCATTTGGGTTTTTTGCTGAGTTAAAGTAAATGCTAAGTATACCACGTCTTCTCTAAAGACTGTGCTTCTCAGAAACATAAATCTTACCACACTGCAATCAGTCCTTAATATCACCAAATACCTACTGAGTGGCATCAGTAGATGTCCCCATTTGCCCCCAGAATGTGATTTTAGCCGGAGCCGGTCAGGGCCAAGAGATTGTTCTGATTGGTGTCCGCACTGCAGCAGTGTTTTGCTTCTTGCTTTGCTTTGTGAGCGAATCACTAGCTCAGTTAAACACGGCCGAGAAGCTGCCCATGGAAGGGGAGGTTGGGGATCCTGAACTGAGGGCGTGACGCCCGAGAACCCAACCAGGTGGGTCCCAGGATGCATGGGGAGACTGATCTTGGAAGGGGGCCCCCTTCGGCCCTCCCGCCAGAGTGTGGGCAGGTGGTGGGAGCTCAGTGCATCTGCCAGAGAGATTTGGCAGCAGGAAGCTCCGGCTGGCCTCTTCCGGTGGTTCCACTCTTCCCCCAAGAGCCGAGCCCGAGTTCCCTGCCCTCTCGTTGGCCCCACTCAGTGCCTGGCGTGTAGTGAATGCTTAGCAAGCGTTTTTAAAGTTTGCCTGTGAATGAATGTGGACAGTGATGAACGCGTTTCAAGGGTTCAGGAAAATGGAGAAAGATCAAATTACAAATAACACTGGGATTATTTCTTATAATGCAGGTTCTGTTTTAAGAACTTGTAATTAACTTAATCATCACAAAAACCCTGTGGATTAAGTACTGCCATTACCCCTATTTCCAAATGCAGACGGGGAGGAGGTTCAGTACCTCACCAAGGTCACACAGCCAGTGAGTGGACCCTGACCGAGAGGGCCTCCGGCAGAGCCGCCATCGGAGAGGCGCCTGGAGCCGGTGCCGCTGAGCTGAGTCCTCTCTCGTTTGGAGGCCTTCTCCAGCTATTTGTATGTGCAGGAGGCTCCAGTGGCGCTGCTGCTGGTGCTGAGTGCATGGACAGCCACTCCTGCACCGCTGCTGAGGACTCTGAGGATTGCGTCATCCCTCTGTAGCTCCACCTGCGTGCAGCACAGTGGCCCCAGCCTCGGCTCCCGGCCCCAGCCCGGTGTTCCTCTCTGAAAAGCCACAGCACATTCTTCTCCTGGTGCCCCCTCCCAGAAATTGAGTTAATGGGTTGCATTTTCTCTTCTGTAAAATTTTGACTCATAAATGCATCTAAACCTTTGGCCCCACGATAGCTTGGCAGTACTGAAATCTAGTGGACATGCTTTTTTTACTTGTGGTTTTGTACATATTTATACAATCAGGGGCTTGCAGTTCGTGTCATCTGTATTTTTCAAGGTTTTCATCAGAGCCCAGACGTGCACCAGACCTTTAAGAATGAGAATTTGGAGATGCTTGCTGATGGGGGATCCAGTGTGATCTGGTTTTGTTGTGGTTGTTTGGTGTTGTGATTTATCTAATTTTAAAGGGAGAGATGTTGTAAAATATGATCTAAATGGGTGTTTTTTCCCTTTAAAAATAAAAGAAAAAAGCTGGTGAGTGATTTCCTGGGTAATCTTCAAGAAGGTTTCTTTAACATATTTGTCAACATGGTCGTGATTAGTGTCCACTGTGGCCCAGGCTGTCTGTGGCTTTGCAAAGAGACATTTTCCTACTGGCAGAACTTACTCAAGAGAGTCCGAGATGACAGTGCTCTGAGTGGAACGGCCAAGAGGGCCTAAGCAGCCATTGCCCAGGGCAGGGACGTGCTCTGTGGGCCTCAGATACCTGCCACGCACACAAAACACCTGCTGCAGTGTCTCCCTCCAAGCAGACCAGGACATAGCAGTGAGTGGGTTTGGAGCACAAAGGAAATAGATGTAACATTATGATTTCTTAATAGGGTTTTGCATGAAAATTAGTAGCAGCAGCATCTGCAGCTGGAAGTAGAGTGTAGTTGGTACACTGTATGGCTTCAGGTATTTTGACATTTTCTGTCATCCTCACAACCAGCTTTGAGGTAGAGATTTCAGTGCTCATGCTTTAGCAGATGAAACCAAAATGCCAAAGTGATTTAGTAACTTGCCTGGGATACCACAGCCAGCCAGTGGTGGCCCTGGGATGCATGCACACACCCCTCTGGCTCACAGTCTGCTGCCTTCCCACCCCGGACAAGGCACAGGGGCCTGCCGTCTGGTGAGGGCCATCCAGCCACTTCTTCCCGGAGCTGGGGAGCAGCCACCTTTCTGTTTCTTAGATCACACGTGAGAAATTTTCTTTTCAACCAGGGACTGTTTACCACCTGTTGTGCATTAGCAAAATGCAAGGCAATTTATTATGTTTTGAAAGGAGAGGAATAGAAAATGTTCCAGTCATCCGATTTCAAATAACAAGTAGGATGAAAGTCTACTCAGAAAATATGTTGAATTAAAATATATAGCTCAGTTACTGTTGATCAGAAAAAGGGGGCAGACGCATCTTTAAAATTTGTCAAAATTCTGAGTAGCAAAAATCAAATTCATCAAAATCAAACACATTTTTTTTTCTTTAATGATTAGGAAAAACTAAGGGCTTATTAATTCTTAAGATGATTAAATTTCGCCAGGCTTGAGTATTGATAGTGTTTACCACTGAAAAGCTTGACAAGACATTCTGATTTTTATTAAATGAGCATTGTTTTGAAAAAAAAAACAAAGCAGCATATGTAATTTTTTCACAGAATCAGAACTACCCAAAACATGACCATTGCCCATGGAGTGAGCGTCCTTGCAGACAGCTCTGTGTAAATACGCACAATGCACGCAGTGTTTACTGAGCTGGAATTATAGCATTCGTGCTGTTCATTAATCTGGAAACTTGACACATGTCATTGACATAAAAAGGCAGTTAGCATCCTCTTTCCCCCCATTTTAAAGAAAGGAAAACCTCGCTTTCCTTTAGGACCTCATCAGGGAGAAGCAGCTCCATCTTGTGGCTTGGAGTGTGCTCATCACAGACTTCCCGAGTTGTGTTGTGTCTTTGCAACCAGCACTGTCAGTGGTGTCAGCCTGGGATTCGTCCCGTAGACTGGAAACCAACACGGGCCAGAGAATTTCAGTTGCCTCCAGACCGGGGGCCCCTTCACACTCCTCCTGTAGACTGCTCAGGTCTTGGCAACAAAGTCTGAGAAATGGGAAGCCGAGGTGTCCAACACCAGACTCTGCGCTTTCCTGCTTAAGCCCGGCTCCGATGCTATCAAAGAAGCTGACCTTAGCGGCCAACTCACTTCCCTGAGCCACGTCAGATCGTCACCAGGGCCTCCTCCGTAGAAGATGGCGTGTAGCTCACCGAACAGGGAGCTCAGAAAGGGCCAGTGGCTGGGCTCCTCCTGCCGTGCACTATCATATCCACCTTTTCCGACTTTGCAGATTAGTTTAGAGTGTTAGAGGAAAAAGTATCTTTGGAGGTAAAGTTGGACTTCTCAGTCTGGATGCACGTGGTTAACATCCACCATCCAATGGGTGTACAGTGCAAATGTGGTCATTTTCTCTAACAGGCCTTTAATAGAGATTATCCCTTTGTATGAACACCAGAGGCAGAAAAGTTGTGTTTTACATCTAAATAAGCATGTTTTGATTGGATTTTCTTCTTTTTCTTTCTCTCCTATGCAGTATATTGTGGAATGTCATGGGATTACCCTTCTTCCCCAGTTCTTGGGCATGTACCGGCTTAATGTGGATGGAGTTGAAATATATGTGATTGTTACAAGAAATGTGTTCAGCCATCGTTTATCTGTATATAGAAAATATGACTTAAAGGTGAGCTTGACTTTACTAATTTTTGTTAAGTGAATGGCGCTTAACTCATCTATATATAAATGTACTTAATCTTAAAAATGCTTGGGAGATGCTCAGAGGTTAAAAGTACTACCCTAGGGGCTGGGGGTTTAGCTCAGTGGTGCCACCGCATGCCTCACGAGCACAAGGTCCCGAGTTCGATCCCTGGTACCGAAAAAAAATACTGCCCTTGCACCAACTACCAGTGCCTCCTTAAGCAGTGCTCACTGGCTTCACCAAGACACCTTTACGCATAGAGACATCCTGTGTATTTATTCATGACCAGCCCCCTGCCAGGCATGTTCCAACCAAGGGAATAATGTGATGAACAAAACAGGCCAAGTCTGCACACAAGGAGCTGATGTTTTGGTAGTAGAAGATGGGCAATAAGTAAAAGTCATTAAGTCATATAGTATGTTAAGGAAGTGGTAAGTGCGGTAGTCAGAAATAAGGAAGAGGCAAGATACTGAGAAGATGACATTGGGGCCGACTTGAAGGAGATGAGAGAAGAGCTGAGGGAAGATTCCTGGCAGAGGGAATGGCCCTGAAACACCGTTTGAGCAACTTGCAGTGAGAGGGAGCCCTGGAAATTCTGAGAGCAGACTGACGTGATCTGACTTCTAGTATCACTGACTCGGAAGAATGCCCAAGTTAGAGATTGGCAGACTATGACCTGCCTGCACGCCAAATCCAACTCGAGGGCCATTTTTGTAAATAAAGTTTTATTGGCATACCATCATGCCTATTGCTTCTGTATTGTCTGTGGCTGCTTTTGCACGATAATGGCAGAGTGGAGCAGTAACCAGAGAGACTCTTATGAACAAAAAAGACTGAAATATTTTCCCTCTGACCCCTGGAAATGTTTGTTCACCTCTTGTCTTTGGCCGCTGGTCTCAAGATATTTTGGTTTTAGAACCCTTTTGCATTCATTATGTAGGCTGTATCCATGGATGTGTATGAGAAATTAATATGAGAAATAATAAAATGTTCATTGTAGTGTATTTAAAATAATAAAATTTCATGTTAACTTTTTATGAAAAATAACTTTTTCAAAAGCAAAACATAGGGCCGGGGATTTGGCTCAGTGGTTCTGCTACCTGCCTCGCAAGGGCAAGGTCCCAAGCTCGATCCTTGGTACCAAAGAAAAAAAAAAAAAAGAAGCAAAACATACCAGAACAGGTGGCATTATTTTGCATTTTTTGCAAATATGTATAGTCTGAATATGAGACAGTTGGAATATATCTGATTGTGCTGTCTATTGTAATGTTATTTGATTGAAATAAATTAAGAAATTTTGACACAAATAATGTAGGTAGTTGGAGAGAGGGGGTTAATAACTGTCAGAACCTTGATATTTCTTTGATACATTAAAATGGACAGTTGATAATTTCTCAAAGCTCAGTTACATTGTAGAATCTGAGATCATGTCAGTGAACTTTTTATTCTTTTTTTTTTTAATTCCCCCAAATACTTTACAGTGGTACCTTGGTTCACAAACTTAATTCCTTCCACAATTCTGGAAAAGATGGCCACATTCGTGTTCATCACCTAATGCAGAGTTCTCAAACAAAAATGAAATTTTGCCAAATGCTTCTGTTTGGAAACCAAATTGTTTGCAAATAAAAGCATTTGTGAACTGAGATACCGCTGTATTTTGATAAGTCAGGTGTATTTTCACTGAGAAGGTACAGTAGCATTTCCTTGCAGTAACACTCTCATTATTAAAAGACATTGGTCTCTGCATACACCAGCCTGAATGTACGATTTTATAGCCCCGCACTGTTAGAAGCATTGGTTCATTGAGTTATATAGCCCTTCAAATACTGACACATTTCATTATGTAGAACCAAAAAGCCAGGTGGCCCATGCCTGTAGTCCTAGCACTGGGGGCTAAGGCAATAGGATCTCAAGTTCAAGTCCAGCCTGGGTAATCTAGCAAAAACTGTCCCTAAAATTTAAGAAAGATTGGGGATGTGGCTCAGTGCAAAGGCCCTGGGTTTCAATCCCTAGTACGGAAACACATTAGCATCACCACCAGTGTCATTGGAGAAGTCGTGTGTGTATTGGAAGCTGGCAAGCTTGGGGCAGATACCAGTTTTCCACAATTCTGGTTTTCACTTGAAAACTCTCTTTCAAGTTTGTCAACAAATCGTGCCATTTGCTTCCTTTGAAATGACAGTACATAGCACCCCCTTCCGCAGCACAGACAAGGCTAGCAGCTTTGTTCATTGTTGAGCAAATATTTATCAGTTTCTCAGATCTGAACAAATACCGATTGTCAGTTCTTTCAAGTAAAGATGTTGTTTCATGAAAAGGGTGGCGAGTTCACCTCAGAAGTGCAACTGTGGCAGAAATGGTTCTTGAGAGACCGTTTCTTTATAAACAGAATGCTCCATGCACATCTCCTGCACTGAGTGGGTAGTTGAGCACTCCAGTCAGGACCTAGTGAAATTCGTTTCACTGCTTCATTCGTTCGGGGCATTGTTCAGGGATGCTAGGGCTTTGGTTTGGTTTGGTTTTTATCTGTAACGGCGCATACTGTTAGTACCATTTCATATCACTGCCTGATGTGGGCTAGTTGCTGCAGCTTCAGCACCATTATTTGTTGGAGTGTCCGTGTGGAGACCGAGACAGTGAAGACAGGTCATGTCTCAGTGTTACTGCCAAAGTACTGTGGACTCCACAGACCCCAGGATTCTGAACCACCCTTCGAGAACTGCTAGTCTAACTGAAGGGAGCCACGTGGAGTGTGGGCCCCCAGCCAGCCTCGGCCTGTTGTGCCCAAGTCCTGCCTGCAGCCATTCTGTTCTGCTCACTCTGCCCTGGGTGGGGATCCCAGCCTCCTTGGGGCTGTGGCCAGCTCAGTTCTTTCAGGTCTGACTGTGACCGATGAAGCTGGTTTGGTGATGCGTTAGCTGTGAGTTGTGGAACATTTACGAGCCTGTTTTTCATCTGTTAAAACGGATGATTTTACCCGAGTTTGGAGGGCTCGGTGCTGGGGTTAAATGAGAGGTGTGTGCGTCACCTGCAGCGGAAGACACAGCACGGGGGCCTGGCTGTCACCCTGTCTGCTGCTGTGCGCTCCTACTGCTGCTGCATGTTCCTCCTTCGAAATGCGTAAGACCCTACCTCTTATAAGTAGGCGCCTGGTAAACATATCTAGGTGTATATTGGATATGGTTTTATTTGCTTTGCATTTCATGATTTCCTCCCCCTCTTCAGCTTGTAGAATCGATACATTCTGTTCCCACCAGTGCTTCCTCTTGTACACGTGACATCATTTCATGGCTCCACCTCTTGGTTTTAACCTGCTAACCTTACTTTTCTATTTTTAATTTTTTTCTTTTTTTTTTTTTTGGTGTTAATTTGAACTTGGCTGAGTCTTTTTTCCCTAAGCTAGTGATCTGTACTGGCATAGAATTGAAGCTTTCCTGAGAATCAGAAGTAGGGAGAATTATATTGTAGGAGGGAAAATGTGCGCAAACCCACAGCTCAGTTAGGAATACAAAGTAAATAGTTCTTCCTGTGCCCCACAGCATAGACAGTGTGCATGCACTACAAATGCCCCTTCCTTAATTTGGTGGACATGGTCAGGAATCACCACGTGAAGGAAACTGTTTGTGGCCCCTGCTCCGGAGGCACCAAAGGGAAGAAAATCGATTGTTGAAGGCGACAGGTGCTGGGCTGGGCACATTGTGTGCAGTGGCTGTGGAATGGTCCTGGGGTCTCCCTCATGGATGATTCCTGTCGGGCAGATGCATTTGCGCATAGTGCTCCCCTGCCTTGTCCCCATGAAACACTGAGCCTCTCCTCCAGGCAGTCATCAGGGTCTCACAGCCTCATTCCTGGGGGACCCAGGCCTGGTCTTGACCTCTTCCCCAACAGAAGCAGCTTCTTCAGCCCCAGAATCTGCACGTGTGACTCTCCGGCTGGGCACAGCCTTATCCACACCCGAGCTGCCTGCTGAGAGCTAATGACAGTGGGCAAATTTTGATCTCTCTGCCAATGGCTAAGCTAGGAGCTGCTCTCACTTTGCCCAAGTCAAATACAACTTTCCTTTAACGATGGACCAACTTAATTATCCCAGGGCAGTAGCTGTCTAGTTAAGAAGTGGTCAGGTTAACAAGTAGCTCCACTGACCCAGCAATAGCTCAGACATCAGAGGGAAGGAGACCAGTAACTGGCTGTGATCCTTCTCCACCCACTTAGTAAACGTGAAGGACCAGAGACTAGGTAGTGGTTGTGTTAGGTCGGGTATTTAGCAGTCCGCTGGACCATTTACTTTTCACCTCTTCTTCTGAGTTAAACTCTTCCACAAAAAAAGTGTGTGTTTGAACTCTGCCCTCAAAGCCTCCCTGTCAGCACGTGAGGTGGGTGCATCCATCTCTAGCAGCCCAGAGCTGAGGCACTTTTGAAAACCCGTGAGGTGTGGACTAAGCATTGCTGAGGTACAGGCCTGCGTTGTTGCCCACATTTCTTCTTTCTGCTCAGCACGGGGCCTGGCACAAGAAAGGTTCGAGTGAACAAAGTGGCTCTCTGTGGGAGTGGTCAGAGTAAGGGGTCAGAAAGTGTCCTCACGGGACTGCTTGGGGGATGGCAGGAGAAAAGTCCCCCAGTGACTGGAACCAGAGTGGGCAGTCGGAGGAGGGCAGGGCGTGGCCACATCTGGAAGACACACCGTGGGGAAAGGACACTGTGTGTCCCAGCAGCCCACCAGGTGGCCACTCCATTTGTCTCTTGCTGTGCTGTCCAGGGCTGTCTTCATGACATACTCATGTGAGTCCCCCGGCCTCATGTGTGCACATTTTTATCATTTCTTTGTGTTTCAGGGCTCCACGGTGGCTAGAGAAGCGAGTGACAAAGAAAAGGTAAGCACCATGATGCGGGCCTGAAACCTCTGCTGTGATTCTTTATCCTCAGCTTCCACCACTGTGTTTCTCCCCTTTCCCTGCAGCTGCCCTAGTGCGAAGCACACTCTGAACTGCGGAGTGTTCTCCTTCACTTCTCTTCCTCAGACCACTGAATAACGAAGCAGTGATTAGCCATAAGTGTGGCTGGACGAAACATTTCTCACACGGCGCACTCTGAAAACACAGCCAGCTGCACCGTACAGTTAACAAAGATGGCGGCCAAGGCTCAGTGTGGCCTGCGGGCCAGAGAATGGGTCCCAAGGCCACGCCCCCCGCTACTAACCACATATGGCCTTGGAAAAGGGCCGTGGCCTCTGTAAAGACCATCTTCTCTGGCTTCTATAAAATGCTAAGACGCAATTGGAATATTTTCTTTTTTAAAAAGTGAGCATTAAGAGACCACCTCTTTTTATCTTTTCCTGACCTGATGGGCATTATGTCATATTTAAATCACATTTAGTTTCAAGATTATACAAGATTATAAACAGTCAACTTCAAGTGTTGGTCTGAATGAGAATTGGGGAAGTAGCTTCCTGTATATAAAGCTAAACCAACTCAAAGCAACATGTGCTTCCATGCAAGGTACCTCTGGGCTCCCATGTATTCCCCGTCAGCTTTGTTGTTGCTGTTTTGCAGGGCCTGGGTCCAATCCGGGCCTTGCTATCTGCCAGGCCAGTGCCTGACCACTGAGCTACGCCCCCAGCCCTACCCATCAATTTTGTAAGTTACCCTTTCTTAACTATTCTGTTTGAAAACTGACCTCAAGAGTTTCTATTTTGTTTTGTTTTTAATTAAATTCTTTTAGGATGATATCATTTGGTTTCTATTTGAATTTTACAAATTTGAGCATCTGTTTTCCTTTATGTGCTGCTTCAGGGCTTGGTGGTTTGGATAGTTCTTCTTTCAGAAGGCCATCTCAGCGCCTTTGTGTTTCAGATGCTCCTGGGGAGGCGCAGGGAGAGGAAGTAGCTTGCAGTGTGGAGTGTAGGTGTAATGTAAATTGACAATGAACAGAATGCGCCTAGCCTGGCCATAGGACATCTCCTCTCTCCCACAGTTTATTTATAATCTAGAAACATTTTTTCGACTGTAATAGATCAAATAAAGCATATGAATGAAGCCTAACTCTTAAAAAAAAAAAAAAACCCTCAAAAACCCAACATTTTAAAGTCTTTCATTTCTTTTTTCTGCCAACTTTCAGGTTTTCTTTCCAAGAGTTAATATTTTCGACTTTAACACAAAAACATACCAGTTTTTGTCTTCACAAATAAAACCGTAAGTGCTGGCAGAGCAATCACTGGTACCTCTGGTTCAAAAAATATTTTTTCTGCCTTTTAACCTTTTAGAGATGAAACTAAATGATTTGCAAGAAGATTATTTTCATTACTATCACTATGTAGTGATATTCCTTGCAAAATGATTGGTATAGTGCAAAAACAATTTTTGGAGATTACATTGACATGGTAATCTTAATTAGTTATTAGTAATCACAGTTCTTACTTTTTAGGTTTTCTTTCATTGGAGTCATTGTAACTGTTTTAATTTCCCATACTTTTAACTTGTTGATGACAAGTTTTGAAACTGTCATTTCAAATATTTAGTGATATAGTGCCGACAAGTTCCATCCCTTGGATTTCAGCTTGACACATAATTAGTGCAATTTGCATTAGCATAATAATGAAGATGGAACTGAAAGAAATAAAGAAGTTATATTCTAACAATAATGGAATCACTTTCATGGCAACAAGTATCAGAACATGCATGTAGAGACGTCTTGAATTTTTTTTAAAAAGGGCAGAACAGTGCTTTTAAAAAAAAAAAAAAAACATTGTCAGATTCTGACAGCTGCTATGACTTGTTTTATTCCTTAATTCTTTCCTTTCTAATGGAAGGGCATCTTCCATTCATGGCTTCAGCAGTTTCGCCTCCTCTAAATGAGACAGAGAAATGCGAATCTCCCTGGTGGTCGGTCCTTTCACAGCTGCGTTGCAATTCCAGTGTGACATCAAATTAGTAATTATAGCTGAGCAGCCTGCTTCTTACAAATGACAGTCCTAGCATTCTGCCAGCTAGCAAGCTTCTCAGCAGGGAATCTGGGGAAGTAAAAGAAAACAGAACCAGACTCACTTGATGTCTGGGGCTTTGACCTGACTCCCTAAAAACCCATGTTCTCCAGAGAGAGTCCTGGGGGTTTCCATAAATATCCATTTTGCTCATCATTCTGCACAGTTCTTCCCAAAACTCATGTCTGATTTTATTAGGTAAAGTAAAGCCTGTGTAATGGAGTCGGGTCACAATAAGAAGATTCCTTTCAACACACAACCTTCTCCCTGGAACCCATTTGAAAGAAAACAGCTGCCCAGCAATTGGCATTTGTGTAACTATATTGGCAATAATCATTGTTGACACTTTGATAATGGGCTACAAAAAGCCGTCTTGTCGATTCTTATGCATTGTAAATTGCACTAGCAATTAAGCAACTGTCACCAACTCTGACATTTTACCTATTACTGACTGAAGGTTTGGCAGAATTAATCATTAATACCCTCACATCTAAAAATGCTCTCCCAAACCAGTCTTCAACATTGCTTTTGTGGTCTTTAAATTGTAACAAATTATAATTGAGCACTGCCCCCTCTGGTCCTTGGGCTGCAGTTAAAGGTGAGGAAGGAAGGGCAGCCCGACTGGAAGGTGCAGAAGGCCCAGTGGTGTGTCCTGGAAACCCTTAGAAAGTGCTTCCCTGGCTCCTGTGGGCAGTGGCCAGCTAAGGGGAGATTGTCCTGGGTTGTCCACCCTCAGTTCCGTTGAGGCTTTAACCTCTGTTAAAATTCCTCTTCTCCCAGGATGGCTGGAAGTCCCTTCCCTTTGCTGGCCAGCATTAAGCACACCTATCCCACCACCCAGAGTGCAGGGCCAAGTTTCCCTCCAGATGGAAGCGAGGAGGATGTGGGGTAAAGACACCAGACAGAAGGTTAGATCCGAGACCTAGCCCTAGGGGGAAGTGGAGAATCTGTAAAGTTAAAGAATAAGGATTTGACTTATCATTGGCTCTCATGCTTTAGTGTTTACAAGAATCTCTTGTTTCTCACCAAGCTTTTTTGGACCTTCAGAAATTCCTTCAGCAGTAGACTGCCCTGGGAAGAGCTCTGGACTTGATGTTCACTAAAATCCAGTCTGTTCTACATAAAGGTTAAGGTGACTTCCATTACTGAGGGAAATCCTGCTGCTACTGATAGAGTAAGTCGTCTGCCTGTCATACCAGCAGGTGTCTGAGCAGGCCCTAAGAACCCGTGTGCAGTGGAGTGTTAGTCGTAAAGAAGAAGAAATTCCAGTCACGTGTAGGAAGTCAGGTAGATCTTGCGGCTGTTACGTGAAATAAGTCAGACCCAGGAAGGTAAATACCACACAATTTCTTTTAGATGAGAAACCCAAAGTAAAATTTGAAGAGCAGAATAAAGGAGACAGGAGGAAACAGAAGTAGACTTTTCGGAGATGACCAAGGGGACCTGGAAAAGGGGAAAAGCTGCTGTATGTGTGTTAATTCCCCAAAAGGAATACAGTTGTTCTGCATCACAAACCTATACTCCCGAGATTCTTAAGCCGGGTGTTTACTATGAGAGAAGTCCCTGGAGGGCCCTCCCCTCCATCCAGGGGGCCAGCCTGCACGCGGTCTAGAAGTGGGGTTTTCCAGCTTCGGGTCATTTGGGGTTTTTCCTGACAGTGCTCATGGGGTGTGAAAGAAAAGTCATAGCAGACTTGTGACATCTTCCGGGTTTTCATCCAGATGCCAGCACTAAGGACCTTGGGCTTTTTGACTCGCTGGGTGAAAATGGTACATAAACTCAGTTGCCGTAATCTTTATTTCACTGAAATGAACTTAACTCAGTATCACAAGCACACACGAAACAGTGCAATTAGATACAGGAATTTTTTTTTTTAAGCTAACACCTTTTACTAACCTGGTTCTAAGAAAAGTTGAGGTGGAGAGCAGACATCTAAAATTTAGTGTGTGGCCTGAATTTGAGCGAAGCTGCTGTAGACATAACCCTTATAATAAAATAATGGTTTTCACTAGGTTAGTATTAAACAAGAAACAGCCGAATTTAGCAGACTTCTTGAGTTTGTTTAGTAGTGATTGAACCGAGGGCCTTCACACTGAGCTATAGCTCCAGCCCCGCCTACCCCCTTGGATTTTGAGATAGGATCTCACTAAACTGCCCAGGCAGGGCTTGAACTTGGAATCCCCTCCTCCGATCTCCCTCAGTGCTGGGATCACAGGTGTGCTCCACCATGCCCAGCTTGGAATAAACCTATGTGGAAGGCCCGATTTTGCATAGTTAACTGTCACCTGAGCGTACTTGGGGAAGCAAACCAAGTTGTCACCTTTGACATAGCCTTTTAGAGTTGTGTTCATTAAAAGTATGACAGAATTAGAAAAGAAATCAATTCCGTGTTTTATATACTAGCTTAAGAATTTTAGAGAAAAGAACCAGCTGGTCTCACGAGCCGTAACAGATTTAAATGGTAGAATTACAGTAAAGCTTATCCAGTTTCATGCTTCCAAAATAGAGTGCTGTTTCACAAGTTGTTGAGGTATATTTTTCTTTCCATGTTGTAAATGCAGACAAACATCCAGAATTAAAATTATGAAACTCTCACATCTGGATGCTGGCCACAGACATGTACCTTCTTACTGTCTTTATTATGGAAATCAGAAGTCAGTAATGACCTGCTAGGCCATTTCCCAAACACGGTGCTGCTGTTAAAGAGAGTTGTTACATGTACTCTTGTGAGAAAACACATGTTATCTTTGCTACCTCTTCGTGAACTTTATTCATAGCTGCTCATTTGCCTTTTAGTGTATCAAATTTGTGGCTTAACCTTTTGGGGAAGCAGAACTGATTTTATGGTCTCTCTAGCATCTATTACCCAAAGTTGACACCGCATATATGATATTA